CTAGCTCTGACACACTAAAATCTTCTTAAAGGCTTTTCTGAATTCTGGGTTGAATATCGTGTAGATTACAGGGTTGAGAAAGGAGTTCATGTAGCCAATCCAGGTGGTGAGCACGAAGGCTGTCATGCCTGGTTGCAGTTTTATATTATCGGTCTTCTTGCTGATGGCGTCTAGGATGTTGCAGGTGAAGAACGGCACCCAGCATAAGAGGAATGCCGCTGTGGGAGAGAGAATGGGGAGTGTTAGTAAATGCAACTCATTTCTATATTCACTACAAGGTGATATATGAAGGATGTAACTGTGTGAAGGATCAAGGGATATGAGTGCCGGTATGATGTAAACCAAGTTACATATTTTACCCACAAGGCATTTGATTAAACGATGTGTACCACATAATAATATCAAATCAAATCTGTGTAGACGACTTCACAGCATACTTGGTTTTCCCTTCACATTTTATCCTTATATATTTATACTACATTTCTTAACATTAAGAAACGCAATTGTCAGTAACTTGTACTACATTATCCGGCCTTTAGTTATTCTGTTATTCTATTCTCTAACCAAAAGTATTTTTCTATAAAAAATATCATACAAGGTAGCAAGATATCCAACTCAACAAATAAATGATCTCGTACATTTGGAGTTGTACGGAAGCTAAAGTATGAGCTGTAGTTCTGAAACCGTATATCTAGAGGGTCGGTTATACCCGCTAAAAGCTGGTAGAGCACGTAAGGCATACACACAAGAGGGGAAACACCCAATAGCACCGGCAGAAAATATATTTGCCCCCCTCGAAAAATAGAAAGGAAAGTAGAGAGAGAGAAAAAAAAAAACAGACATAGAAGAAAGAAGCATAGACAAAAAAGGAAGTGGAAGAAAAAAACTTATATAAAGAAGAATTAGAGATGAAGACAAAAACATGAAGAGAATAAAAAGCAGAAAACAAAAAAGAAGTAAGAAACATAGAAGGAAAATCAAATCAAATCAAATATTCAGACAAAGAAGACAAACACATAAAAAGAAAAGAAAGTTGAACAAAATACCCAGATAAGGAAGAAAGAATCATAGTTTGCAGTATGTATTCAACTCGCGTCTCACAGTCAAGCGGGGCATCAAACAACCCAGGCCTTACACAGCTGGGATTCCGACAGCCATCTACAATACTAAACCATGTCGACAGAAACCTGCTGCTATCCTAAGAAGTTTTTTAAAATTCACAGTTATTTCCAAATTTGATAATGAAAAAAAAAAAAAAAACGCACAAACAAGGATAATAAATTATGGATGTATTTTTGATATCGGAAGTAATATACGTCAACATGTGAAAATTTATTTCGTGTTACTTGAATTACTAGGCCAGTCTGCCTTACGTTCACGCTAAGGTGCTTGCGGGAAGCAAATGCCTGTAGACTCGGACCCTTCACCTCATTAACGGAGCGGAAATGTGTTAAGAAAGCACGTTCTGCTTCCGTAATGAAACTGCTTGGCTACTGAGCACTATCGCAAGGCATGAGAAATGAGTTTTTGTTTATATGCTTAAAGACAGTACAGACGGAAGAAATGGGTAAATGCATGAAATTTAACAGATGAGGATTAGACCTGATGATAAAATGTAGGATGTCCAATATACAGGCCTATTTGATCAAAATTAGCGCTCGGGTGGAATTTTATCTGTGTTCCATTTTATGAGCACTTCAGTAAATTAAGCAAATAAAAAAGTAGTAGCAAAAATGAACAAACAAATGAAAAAACGAGCCAAAATGTTTCATTCGGCAGGTACTGCATGGCGCGAAAACATAATTTTCACAGAATAGAACAGGTCATATTGACATCCAGATATGTCTTTGACTCTAATTTGTGGCAATTTATTCATGCTGGCTGCATTATTCATTCTTATTACTTCGCGGCATTAACTACATATAAAAAAAATTACGTTGTTATGAATATAGTTCCTATTATCATTCAGTTTCTCGTTAACAATCATTATCTACTGTATTATTGTGTATCATTAGCTATACCTAGTTTTTACATCTTTACCAGTACTGGCCCTCCGGTCTCATACTAGTAAAGACATTTATTTGCATTTTCAGATAGTTTATTTGTTTTCACAGCATGCATATCAGTTACATTATTGTAACTAAACACACTTCACATCATCATTTCACAAAGCCTTTGTAAAAATAATGCCGTTGTTTACATCATAGTCCTGTGTTGAATATTGACTACATCCACAAAACACGTTCCCAGTATAGGGGGAACATCATTAGCTTCATACACGCTGAATTGATTAAGCTCAAATCAAATATAAATTCGATCAATTAGACTTCTGAGAGGGACAATTAGAGATCGATAATTGATTTAATTGTTTTCAATCCTAAAGAGTTATAGGGGACGTCGTTCATTTGGCCAGGAAGGTCTATAAATCAGAATTTAACCAATTAGCTGATGAGTCAGGACTGCGTTCATGAGGCAGTTGCTGGTCTGGTGTGCTAATGGG